CCAGACCCCGGGCGGGAGCCAGCGGCACCTCACACCTCTAAGTTGTGGAGTCTTGTGAGCAGAAATTCTACTTTGTGAGCTGCTGGCATTAAAGTTGTGAGTGAGCGATTTGGCCACTGCATATATTAGTTTGCTCTGGAGCCAGCCTTCCTGAGCTAAGACAAAAATGTGTGAGCCAGAGGCTAAAAAACTGTGAGCTAGCTCACACTAACTCAGCTTAGAGGGGACACTGGTCAGGAGTATTCCTCAGTCCAAGATAGTCCCAGTACCAAGGGATTTTGAAGGGAAATCCCATTTTTGCACACCATGTGCTCCAAGTCACAAAGCAACTCTTTGTCTCTCAAGAGACAGCATTTCCAGGTGCAATAAAAAGACAATGACAACAAGGGAGAACTAAGAGAGCAAGAGCTAAGAGAATCACTCCCATAGTGATCAATGGAATTATACCCCAATCTAATTGCAATCAGCTGTTGCTATTCAGCCAATCACGAGCAGCAGGGGTGTGTGGCCAATTGTTGGTTGCCATAGCTGCATGTGGGGATAGGCTAGAAGTTTGGAGGCCCCTCCTGCAGTCACATGACCCAGCTTCCAGCTTCTCCATGGTGTACGTGACATGCTGCATGTGGTCCAGAAAGTGGAGCCATGAGGTCTGGCGTTTGGCATGAAAGTGTGAAAGAATGTGGGTTTATGGCATAGCTATTGAGGCCATGTGGCCCCCACCATTTGGCTTGCAACAGGAAACAAGACACAGCATGTTATCAAAAAACATCACTGGAGAAGGCATGTGGATATAGAAAGCAGAAAGCAAGTTTTCTATACAGTTGGCTTCCAGTTTGTTTACAGGCAAAATTCAAGGTGCTGGTCCTGACCTTCAAAGCCCTCTAGAGTTTGGGATCACCATACCTGAAGAACTGCCTAATCCTTTATGAACCCATTTGACCAATAATGGTAATCTTTGGAGGCCCTGCTTTGAGCACCCCTGCCTTTTGAAATTAGGCGGTTAGCAACCCTGGAGAGGGCCTTCTCAGTCATGGCACCAGAGCTCTGGAACTCTCTCCCTAGGGAGATTCATCTGTCCCTTTCTGCCAGGGGGTGAGGACTTTGGCTGTGATCATATGCACAATTAGCCTTGACATAGGTGCGAATACTGGGCAGATTTAAAGGATGCGATCAAACATGAACATCTGGGAAGCATCCCACAGCCATTGGCAACCCGTGTTGCTCCACCGCAGAAGTGGAGTAAACAGGCACCGGGGAAAGTCTGGTAGCAAATGGGTTGCTACAGGCCACGGACAAACTTTCCCGTCTGATCACTCCAGTGCACTCTCATGGCATCGGGATGGACTGATCAGGTCATCCCGACTCCATGCCATTGTTTCCCCCCTTCTCAGTATGCGCATCACCGCAAACTCCATAGGGAGCCTTCAATGCAGAAGTGTGATTCATCGATTCCTCTTTTAAGCGCATCAGAACCAAACAGCAAAAACAAACAAACAAAAAACCCCGACTCACCCGTGGTTGCATCTCATCACACAGTGACGGGCTGTGCCCACAGCTTCAAAGGAATGTGTGATCGCGCAACTGTGGGTTAAATTCCTCCGGAGGGAATAGCCTGGCTCTCCCCCCCCCTTTTATCTGGCGCGTGTGACCACAACCTTTGTTTTGTTTTGTTTGGCATTCCCTCAATGATCCCTCCTACCTACCCAATGTTTTTATGTTTTGTATGTTTTTTTAATTCTGTTTTTAACGCTTACGTTTTAATGATGTATGTTTTTGTTATAACAGCTTTATGTTGTGATTTTATTATGTATGTTTTAAATTGTAAGGACAGAAAGGCGGGATTTAAATTTTGTAAATAAATAAATTTCCCCCCTCTCCTCAGCTAGGTAGGGGTAGTTCACCAAGCGGTCATGGATATTAACAGAACTAACATCAGCTGACCATTTTGAATCATGAATCTAATGAAGGAATGATTAGCCAGCAAGGACAACTTTCATTAAATGCTGACAGTGTTCTTGATGATATCACATGGTGTGAATACAGTGAGATTGGGTGGGTTTGATGCTGGTAGGAATCTGATGTACCTACCTTGCCCCATCATGGTCATTGTCTGACTGCTGGAATGGCATTTGAGTGCAATACCACTGTCTGTTTTTCATCAAGGAATAACGGAGAAGGAAACATTTGGCCACTTGAATTTTCAGATGTTATTTTTCTTGTTTATTGTGGCAGTTGCCCATAAAACGACAAATATGAGCTCACAGGGAACACTTCTGCTCAGGCTGTTTAATCACAATCATTCCTGGAGAGGGGGAGGGATATTGGCTCCCTTGACAAGTGACATCTGCCACAGCCTCCTCCCTTATTGCTGGCACAGCAAGCTGTAGAGCAGTGATCCCTTGTGCTACCACAGCAATGTCACCTCAGTTTTGGGTTCTTATGGGTGCCTTCAAGTCCTCTCAAGACCTCAGATCAGTGACCCTAGAATATATAAAGTCAGGCCAGCGGCTTGCTTCTGATTATCCTGTTTATGATTCCGCTAAAGGACAGTGGATAGGGAAAAGGGGAGGCCAGAAGGTTTGGCAGCTGTACAAATTCCTATTTGGAAGGGCCCCAATAAATTATTGGTTCTCATGAATGGTTTCAGAACCCCCTAATTACTTTGGATTGTTGAAGCTAAGTGAGTGTGGACCTGATTAGTACCTGGATGGGAGATACCAGGGAATCCCATGGAAATCACTCTGAGCTTTTTAAAGGAAGAACAAGATACAAATATGGAAAAATAAAAGTATTGAGATTTGTTCACTACAAGATAAATGCTAAACAATCAATAAATTTAGTTTTCAACATGGGCCCATCTGTTTATACTTAAACCCAGATATTTGAGCCATGAACAGACAAGACAGTGTGGTGTGGTGGTTAGTGTTGGACTAGGACGTTAGAGACTCTGGTTTGAATCCCCACTCTGCCATGGAAGCTTGCTGGGTGGTTTTGGGCTAATCTCACACGCACAGTTTAACTGACCTTGCAGGACTGTTGTGAGAATAAAACGGAGGGGAGGAGAATGTTGTAAGCTGCTTTGGGCCCCCACTGGGAAGAAGGGTGTGGTAGGGTTTACTCAGATCACTTCCCACCTTCAACTGTCCTAGTTCTCCCTTTTTCTTTCATCTCCTTTTGTGCCTTTTTATGGATCTAACCCCCTATTTTGTATCTCCCCACAGTCCCAGGAACTGCAGCGGAAGGAAGAAGAGCTGAAACAGAGGGATGCCTTCTACAAGGAACAGGTGGCCCGCATTGAGCAGAAGGTGAGGCTGCGTTGTCTCTTATTTGCAGTGGCTGAATACTAACTGGATCAGACTTCGATCTGAGTGGATCAGCTGAGAAGAGAAATGAGAACCATTCTGCTGAAGCCTGGAACTGTCAGCCCTTATTATGTGTCCCTAGGGCCCTCCTCCCATCACAGGCTGTTAAAACTGCTTCACAATCTGAACCTTTTAAGCAGCTCACATTTAAAAGATAATTGGTTTTTAACTGAATGATTTTTTTTTTGAAAAAAATACTAGTTTACAATTCAGAGTCCTATTTGCCCTCCGCCCTCACTATGGAGTTTAGTTGAAAGCAAAGTTACCTTTTAAAAATTCTCTTTGTTTAAAAAAAAAATCTGTGGCTTGGAAGAAGAAAAAAACCTGTTAAAGTAATCTCAGATCATTCTATACATATGAATTAAAGCTGTTATTATTAATTTATCTCTGGGGATCAAAGTGTATTGCTCCAAACTACTGTCTGTTCCTATGCCAGATAAGCCTTTGAAATGAACATGATTTAAAGAGATACCATCAAGCATCTTTTCATCCTGAAATGACCTTTGGAAATCTATTTAGGGATTTGAATCTCTTCCTTGCATGTGGGGGGGTTACCTCTCTGTTTAATTGTTTACCATGATGAGTTTTTAAAAATTGATAGGGTAAAGAATTGGAACAACCATGCTGTTTCTTCAAAGCCCTGTGTTCTTTTCACTTCCTGGCTATTAGCAGTACCTTTTGTCTTTTTAAAAAATAAATGTGTGAAGAATAATATTCCACAACCTTAAAGCAATTAGACCTCTTGACAGAGGTCATGTATTTGACTCTACATGTGTTTGAAAGGAAAAGGGCTCAACCCACTGGCAGACAGTCTTTTCACAAGTGTGCTGCAAGCCAGACTGGAAGTATGAAATAGTGCCATTGTAGTGTATACTAAGAACATATTCTGCTCCACTCTCTTGCCTTGTAGTGGCTTTGAATCTAGTCTGCTGAGCCAAGGAGTAGACGGCAGCACAGCATGAAAGAGGGAGGAAGGGGTGCCATAAACTTTTATCTGTGGCACCTGTGTCACAGGTTGACGATCTCTCCCTTATAATAATTGAATAGTGGGGACCAAAGTTCTAAAATGCCCGCCTTTAGTGTTAGGCCGGAAGAACTGCCACTCAGAAGACACTGGCTGGGTTGACTGGCTGCTTTGTGCAGTCCCGCCCAGCGTTCCAAGGTCATTTGCATATGGAAGCTGATTGGACTTCACTCCATTCCACACCTCAAACTCCCCCCCCCCGCAAGGCAGTTGGGATTTTCAGTTGCATAACATACCTCATAGGGGAGAGGAGAATGATGTCAGCTGCCCTTTCCCTAGGCAGAGGCTGTGGGGGGGGGTTGTAAAACTTAAGACAGACAGGCAGATAAAGGTTGGCTGATGGTTGCCAGGATAGGGTTGCCAACTCCAGGTTGGAAACTTTCAGGATATTTTAGGGATGAAGCCTGCTGAGGGTGGGGTCTGAGGAGGAGGAGGAAGAGGGGGACTTCAGACAGATACAATGCCATACTGCCCACACTCCAGACAAGCTGTTGCCAGTCTCCAGGTGACAGCTGGAGAGATCTTAAAGCTTTGGTGCTAATTCAAAGTGTTGCAATTTATTGACAGAGTAGTGTTTTGGAAAATCTTTAGGAATTGTTTGGTGCATTTACGATGGGGCTCCTGGGGAACTATTGTTGCCAATCTTGGCCCAGCAGCCATCAAACCATTCTCTTCAACCCCCTGCTGTGCAGCTGACTTTCCCCTAGGGTTGCCAATCTCCAGGTGGGACCTGGAGATCTCCCACTGTTACAATTGATCTCCAGATGACAGAGATCAGTTCCCCTGGAGAAAATGGATGCTTTGGAGGGTAGACCCTATGACATTACACCTGCTGAGTCCTTCCGCCCCCCCCCCCCGCCCAATGCTGCCCTCTACAGAATCCACCCCCCAAACCTCCAGGTATTTCCCTCCTTAGAGCTGGCAACCCTAAATTCCCCTCAGTGCCTGTTGGTAGGCAACTAAGCTTGGTCCTGTCACCTACTTTGGCCTTTGGGAGAAAACACATTGGGGCCAGTCCTGATAGGGTTGCCAACTCCAGATGGGAAATTCCTGGAGATTTGAGGGATGGAGCCTGAAGAGGGTGAGGTTTGAGGAGGGGTGGGACCTCAGACAGGTACACTGCCATAGACTCCACCCTCCAAACCAGTCAGTCCCACATAGGGAACCATTGTTACCAATCTCCAAGTGAGGGCTGGAGAGCACTCAGAATTACAACTGCTCTGCAGAAGGGAGGGCAGAAGTCAGCTGAAGTCAAAGGGACAGATAATGGTAGGTTGATGGTTAGCTGGGAAGGAGATGGGGTTGCCAACTACATGCTGACAAATTCCTGGGGATTTGAGGGGTGGAGCCTGGAGAGGGTGGGGTTTGCAGAGGGGTGGGACCTCAGACAGGTAGAATGCCATAGACTACACCCTCCAAACCAGCCACTTTATCCTGGGTAACAATTGCTGCCAATCTCCAGGTGAGGGCTACAGATCACTCACAATTACAACTGCTCTTCAGGTAGCAGAGATCAGTTCCTCTGGAGAAAACAGTGGACTCTGTCATTATATCCTGCTGAGGTCACCACAGCAAATTGACACTGTTTGCCCAAAGCCAGAGCACTGCCCCAGAGCCTCTTTCTAGATCCCGTTGTATTGCTTTCACAACGGGCTTTACTGCTAGTCCATGGCATAAAGTGAGATGGTTCCCCAAGGGACAGAAGAACTTGTGAATTGGTTTTGGTGACCATAACACAGGAGGAAGGTAAGAGCAAGAACACACAGCTATGGCCTCAACAGGAGGAGCAGATCTGGTAGTGCCTCTTCCTCTGTCTCCAAGCCAGTGTGCCGTGGGTTCTTGTTCATTTGCTATCGCTGCTAATGGGAAATCATGATCATGAGTCGGTTCACTATGCGCACTTAACTACTTTTATTTTGTGCAATCAATTAAAAATGAACTATTAAAACTACCACTCAATGTTGGTTGCATTTAAATTCAATTTATGTTTAATAGGGACTGTGCAATGAAATTTCAAGCAATCTACCAGCCATTGCTGTAATTATTTCAGTTGTCCATATGTTCACAGGCAAAGAGAATTTTCTATATATTTATTTATTTATTGCAATTTCTTGGCCTCATGCTGTGCCTGTATCTCTTTCTCTGTCCCTCGAGTTTTGTAAAGTAGAAATGACTGGGAATATTTGTATATATATCAGTCTCTTTTTTTATGGGTTGCAGAGAAATAGTGTTCCTTACTGCCCTGTGTGTCTCAAAATCTTTATTTGTTTGTTTTTAATATATTTTTCACCCTTTCCCAGTAGTATTCTTTGGCTTCCTTTGCCATTCTAAACATCCAGTCCTTTAACAAATTCAAGCAAATCCACTGAACTCATTTAGGCTTACTTCTGAGTAAACATGAGTGGGATTGGGCTGTAAATAGGGTTGTAATATCGGCTGATGGATGGTTTGTTTAGAGGAGCTTTAAGATGGTGGTAAAACCCTTCAGCCCTGTTGTGTGGTGATTTTTTTCTTTCCCTTCCCCCCAGTGTTGTGCACTATAGTAAGTCAATATTAAGGGCAGATTTTGTTTCCTCACTTTATAGCACTAGGTAGCATTCTGACCCTTAAACACCAGCATTTTGCTGGTAATAAAACAGAAGAATGCTTCCTACTGTTATAGAATGAGCCTAGATTAGAGCTGAAGATGGAAGGGGCTGGGAGAGGAAAGAAATGTACTTGGAAAAGTGTAATAAAGCTTAATTGTATTAGTTTTGAAAAAGATTTTCGATCTTCTCCATGGATAATTTTATTCCTATAATGGTTGGAAAGATGGAAAAGGCAGCACTGAACAATCTTTTATATTAGCTGTTGCTTTTATGTAATTCTGCTTTCATTTGTTGAATACACACAGACCTTGACTCCCCCCCCCCTTCTTTTTTGGCTTCTGTAGTTACGGCTTGAGAACTTTTAAATCCATTTAGAAAAAACGAGGTTCAGTGGGAGATAAGCTGAGGGGTAAACTTCCGAACAGCTGTTGTTTGGTTAGATTGTCATGGATGAATGTTCAGGAATTACAAAGCTAGGCTCTTTGGGGTGTTTGTGGGAGGCTGGGTGCGGGTGAAAGGCAGGATGGTGATTCAGCTTAGAAATCAGAGGTCCAAGTCATTGTTAAAGAGAACAGTTTTCCCTCTACCCCATCTGTGCTTTTCGAGGGTGAAAGACAAGGGCCAGTGTGCACTGCTTCTGATTATTTGTGGTGATCTGCTATGGATAATAATGTAATATTGTGTGTGCAAAGCTGCCGTCATGGTCCTCCTCAGCCCCACCACACGTCTAAAGAAACATGGCATTTGGAGAGAGAGAGGGCCATTGAGTAAGCAAACTGAAAAAAGTGTAATAAGCCCTTTTAACTCCATGGGATTTGCATCTTGTCCAGGGGTATTTAGTAGAAAAAGAGGTGCAGGAGCTCATTAGCATAACTTATTTGCATATGCCACACCCCCTGACATCACCGGAAGTGTGTCAGAAGGCAACACCCATTGCTCAGGCTCCACCCCAAAATCTCCAGGTATTTCCCAACTCAGAGAAAGAAAGAAAGAAAGAAAGAAAGAAAGAAAGAAAGAAAGAAAGAAAGAAAGAAAGAAAGAAAGAAAGAAAGAAAGAAAGAAAGAAAGAAAGAAAGAAAGAAACCTCTTCCACTGAAGTAATTTCCTTCTTTCAAAATTCAGATAACACTCAAGACCTGGTGAGAGATGTAAAAGTGATTGCACCGCTTGGAAACAGTGATCATAATGTTGTTGAGTTCATCATTTGTACAAATAGAGAATTGGCCAAAAAGACTCACACAACCATTTTTAACTTTAAAAGGGGTAATTTCTCTGATATGAGGGGACACGTGGGGAGGAAACTGAAAGGAAAAGTAGAAAGGGTCAAAACA